TTACTCAGGGGCTTTAGCCTCAAGTTAGTCTCCCAGAAGCCGAGTAGCAGAGGTGGAATAAAATACTTGATCCAGCGAGATTGCAGACGGATCCTACGAGGCAAGTGGGAGACTGATAAGACATAGGAGAGGAGTGCGTAACAATATGCAAACTCTGATCAGCATTCCCAGCACAAGTGTGAAGAGGGGTGAGGTGAGAAAGCCAGCGTGGGGTGTGGAGAGTTGTAATGAAATATGCTCAAAAGGGCACCATACCACATTGAAATTAGCAAGTAAAAATTGTGATAGTGAAGGCGCGGTATCAAGATATAGGATTGATGATAAGCCCAAGGGGGAAAGAGATACCACATGTATGGTCAAAGGATCGGCTTCACTTGTCTCTGACGAGTTGTAGTGTGGTGCTAAGACCGGCAAGACTCACTGACGATGCCGGCGAAACGTCTAGGAATGTACCGCGTCCAAGGTCCGACTCTGGAAATTATCATGCATACAATGGACTCGGGACTATGTGGGTAACTCTAGCTCTTCTTATCGATATGACAAAGTTGCGAAAACAAGGTCAAACAATTGTACAGTGAAAGGAGACTGTGACCACACAAAAGGCCACATCATCTTGGTCTTCATACTTCCTATAAGTAGCTTTCCTCCTCATCCAGGGTAGATCTTGTCTTGGTTTTCTCACCATTTGTAGTTAAAAGTAGGCCTATAGAAAGATAGATTACTTGAAACATAAATATGTATATGATACTTGATGGTGTGGCCTTTAGCATGGTCCCGAAGACCTTGTTGTGTAGTAGTTTGTTGACTTTGCTTTCACAATTTGGTCTTATTGGCAGAATGACCTAAAGGAAGACACGTTGTCCAGAGCCCATAGTATGCATGATAAATTCCAGGATTGCACAGTATGACATATTCTTAATATGTTAGGATAAGATGAACACAGTTGTTATATTAACTCTGCATGCCCTAATGGTAGTCTCAAATGGAGAAAGATAAGTAATGTAGTCGGGTGTCGAATCAAATACAACTCTGATCCATCTAAAATTCCACTACGGAATGTGATGGGAAAGAAGGCCTGGCCTTCCTTGAAATTCAATTTGCTTTATGACCCAAGTGCATTAGTGACGATTCGGTTTAGTAGTTAACATGTCGAGATTGTGCTCTGTACTATCAAGGTTCGAGTTCCGTCGAGGGCGCTAATGGGACCTAGGCGATGCCAATACTGTAGCCAACTCTGGATAAAAATAGTTTTTGAAAAGTAAGGCTGTGAAATTTGATGTAGGCGTACGGCCTACACCATTACCTTAAACAAAATAAGGTGAATATAAGTCCGATAATTTACAAGAAATGTACTCATTTCTAATATAAGCGAGTGATTAATTGCGCTAAAACTGTTGGTGTAAGCCCCAGTATATTCAATATTACTGATGCGACAGGGGATAATTTACATATATGAGATGCGTTCGTTGAAGGTAATGGAGGACTGGTAGTTGAACTTTCCCACAATTATATGAATGGGCCCTAAGTTTCCATTGAATTTCACATAGCTTAGTTTCCTATAAGATTTTCTCAAGGATGGACCGCAATTATGATCTCACCTAAATGTCATCACCACCCCCAGCTGGATTGTCGTGGTTCGAATCACGCTGGGGGTTTTGAAATGACCAAGGCGGGGTCGAAACTGCAGTCCACCCTGGACAAGAAAACATTGAGGAAGCAAGGCTATGTCCATTTGTTTAAAAACGCACTCATACGATGGTGGGGAAATTCAACTACCGGCCCTTAAACGAAGTAGAATGAATACATCCCATATAGATGATTTAATGATTATCTCGAAGCCATACTTACAAACGAAAAATAATTTACGTAGTAGCTACCCAAATCCCTTGGAGACTCCATTTGGTGTGAAGTAGCTGATATCTAAATTCGTTTCGCCCAATGTTATGCATATTTTTATGTTCAACGATAGTTTTACATTTAAAAAATTCATTCTTCCGACTACTTTTTGCGCAAAAAGGATGTCACCTGAGCCAATCATTAGGCACAAAGTATCCAGGGAGACATGAACTATATTCGATTTATACATATTATATAAAGCTAAAAATGTCTGTAAATTCAGATGTCTTAAATTAAACTATTATTAGGATGGTGATATTGTAATATAAATTGTATTGATTTACAAATAAAACAGACCCTCCATTAAGGCTTATTCGAAAATTAATAAAGAAAAACCAAGTAAAGTTAGGGAATAAGAGCTAGAAGCGCAATTGAGGCAATAATTAGATTGAGACAGGCGTTGCAGAAATATGAAAAAAACTGACCAAGCCAGACAGCACCTACTTAAAAAAGCACAATTGCACTATGCGAGTATGAAATTGTCGATAATAGACAAGAGGCATGTCCGGACAAATTAGTCCCTAAATAATTGAATGTGATTATAAAATGAATGGAATGCTCTGAGCCCGGACATCTAATCAAGAAAAAAATATGTTAACGAAGAGACTTCAAGCGAATTGAGGATTGTAGCTGTACAAGGGAAGGTAAGCATGACGTTTGCACGGTAGCATGCACTCGAAAATATGTCTAGGATTCGATGAAGTGATACAAGTATCATATTGTGAGCTAGATGAAAACCAAAGAATGAAATTTCACTTATAAAATGGGTTCATTCATAGTTACGAAAGGATGGAAAGCTAGAAGTGCTAGAGCACAAAGTACGGCAAATTCGAATCTGGGTCTGGTGAATGTACACAAGCAAGACAATAACTCACGATAGAATACAAAGTTTGTGGTTAAAATTATTAGCAACTGAACTGCTGCATATGAGATGACTTCAGCATAGAAGAGAGAAAATACACACTGCCCAATCAGCAATGTCGATAAAACTTGGGGAATTAAACAAAGGAAATAATGAAAGTAACACTATAAGACACAACTGTAGCATTGATAAGACACGATAATGAGTGAAGGAGCCGAAGCGGAACTGAATTTAATGAAATAGTGTCCTTATTAAATTGCAAAGCTTGAACAGATGTAATCTTCAAAAAAAAATGCGTAGAGCAGAGATGAAAATGAAGACAAGTGATTGATGGAAAATGATAGAAGTCTATAAGATATCTAAACAATTAAGAGTACATATTGGGACTTGAAATTAAGATCTTCTTATATCCAATAAAAATAACAAATAAAAGAGAATAGGCTTGGAAATTCATGTCGTAAGTGTGCCAAAAGTAATCAAGTGCATATGGACCAGGGAGCATACATATAGGTGTAATTAAAATAACATGCTTCTTCCAGGCATCTAGAGAGCGAATAAAAGTGAAATGACCATTGGATCTGGAGAGATGAACAAATTAATCACAATCTACTCAGTAAAACGCTATCACACCCGTGAAGTATTCTCAATAAAAGAACAGGTAATAGAAGCTAACAAGGTAAATGCCGTGAGTGGAACTGGTAAACAATTTTTATCAGTTGAAATAAAAATGAAAAACTTGAATAGGATGCAAACGCACTGAAATTAATGTTTTGCAAGAAACGAATATATGTAAGAGGCAAATATGTAATTAGAAATGCGAATGGATGAGACAGTGGTGGTAGAAACGTGCCCCTAAATGTCACATAAAGAGACATGATGAAGCTAACAATAAAATGAGTTTAAAGGGTCGGTCACAAATAGTTGGACAAGATTCAGAGTACGAGGCGAGATGTAGCATCAAAGAAAAGGCAATATGAGAAAATCTCCATCGGAAAGATATTAGCGCTGAAAAGAATGGAACATCTTTAAGAGGGTACTCATAATGGTGGCTTGGGCGTGGCCGTTTCAAGGGAAGCTGATTTTGGAGGTGGACCAAGGATTTTGCACACAAATTCACGCATCACCTCGCGACCCATCTCATGATCCACGCTACGAAGAAAAGGAGAGGCAAGTAAATTGACATAATTATCACGCCTTGTATCATCCTTTATTAGACACCTTGCAATAAATTGTCGAAGATCGTCCGAGTATATACTGCCATCTGGCAAACGTGGAGGATCTCCATTAACAACCTACAGGATAATAAAGAGAAAGTATACATAAAAAATTTAGATAAAGAAAACATTCCAGTTGATGTGGGGGAGTTGTTGTCCATGATTTCGTAATGTGTTAAAGATCTAGAAAAAGCAAATTTATCAAACTTAATTTAATTTGAGCTGGTAAAGAGATAACATTTAATTAAACGGTGCTGTAAAGCGTTTGATAAACTAAGCATCAGTAACGGAAAATGGGCCTTGGTCTCCGATTTGCTTGTAGCAGCGTTGAATTCAATTGATAGCTGGCTTGGATTTTATCAGAACAACAAAGCGAATGGAAACTTCGATATGCTCTCACAGAGTAAGTTCAAATAAATTATTAGTATTTAGCTTTACCCTTCCCTCAACTAACTCATAATGGCTTAGGCTTTTTATTAGCATTCATCCCAAGATTTGTGGCTTTTTTGCACATTAAGCTAATAATTAAATTTTATAGTTTAATTATTCAAACTTATCTCCCTAACAACCCAGTATAGCTGATCGAATGTATTCAACGTAAATCAACACTGTTCCTGTTTCATTGTAGTTGGGTGATTGATCAATAATAAATGCGGCCAAATGTCATTATGTCAGATCACCGCTCGGCTTCACTCGCTGCTATACTTCTAGATGAAATTTTTTGTCCGCATGTTTGCTTTTCCCTGAGCTGAAAACTATTACAAACGATGTAATATACACATATCATGTCTCAAGCATGCGTGTGTAACTAGGTAGGCCAATAATCTTCGAACGCACGCACGATTTAGTGAGTGCGTATTAAGTATTGCAAGCGAAGATTGATTAAAATATGCCTTCGGCATAATACTCGAAATAACAAGAAGAGACCACAAAAACCCATCCGAAAAAGTTACACAATAGAAGATCCTGTAAACAATAAATATATTGATCGAAGATATGAAGACCAAGATGGTGTGGCCTTTTGTGGCCGACTACGATGCCGGCGAAACGTCTGGGAATGTACCATGTCTACGGTCCGACTCTGGAAATAATTATGCATACAATGGACAAGGTGCGTTTCTATCAGTCTTCCTACCATTATGACCAAGTTGCGAAAACAAGGTCAAACAACTTTTAATAAATATATTCGTCTCAAACAGATCGGTAAATAAAACTGGTAAATAGATTTGTCCAATATCATAGTAGAAAAAAAGATCAGAACGAGATGTAAAATTTTACACTTATAACGGAACTGCTTTTTGATATCAGTTCAACCAATCCCAGTTATTCAAAGTTAGCGGGCACTATGTAGGAATCAGACCGTAAAACAATAAGATAAGTATTCCGTTCCCTGTAGCAAGAAATCAGGAACAAAATAGGCTTGAAAGGAGGGTAATACAAATTGCTTGAAACCATCATGATCACTAATCCATAAATCATTAGAGATGAAGATTTACCGTTACCAATATAAATTGTCATTATCGGATCGGCATCACATTATTGTGGAAAAAATTCACCAGATCTAAAACTTGCTTGGGGTTTTCTGCTTAGTGGTTGTTTTCGATCTAGATCTCAGTGACTGATGCTCAATGAGTCGGTATAATTAATTAATAAATATTGCAGACAGACGACGTTGCAAATCTGTGAAGAGCATAATGAAAACCTATCAAATAAGGTCATTTTTACTAGATATCAATATATTTCCTAATGTGAGTTAAATGTTACCTATTCTCGATGCAATTGTTTATTACGAGTTTAAATTTTCACCTAATTTTGTTGATGATTTATTGAGTATAAGACTCAATAGATGTGGATGCAGAAGGAAGTTGAGTTATGTATTTATGGTTGAAGTCTACGCTACGCACCGCGATTTTAAATATAGCCATTAAAAATATTTTAATTCACGACCTTTATTATAACCAGTCTGATTACTGAATCAACTAATCCTGGAGCGAATTCTTTTGCGACTCAACATTGCGCTGTCTAAGATAACTAGTTTAGTTAATTTCATCAATTACATGGCTAAATTCGTTAGCTTTATAGGTAAATAGGTATGAGTGAAAGTGCCCAATGAATGTTTGGTGTTTCTTAAATATAAAGTTGTAATTGTGTGCTTTCGATGGCGCCTCTCACTAACGATGCCGGTGAAAAATTTTGGAATGCACCCAGTTAATTGCCCAGTGCTGGAAATCACGATTTTGACAAAGAACACTGGACTTGGTACGCTCCACAAGGTCTCCATGACGCTCCGAGCAATTTGCGAAAACAAAGTCGAACCAACATCATAAAGCTTAAGGAGACTGAGACTAAACAAAGGGCCACACCATCTTGGTATTCCTATCTACGATAAAATGTGAATGCTTAGTCCTCTCATACCTACTCTACACATTTAAAAACATAAATATAGGGATACTGGCGAACCTTACATTTGGTTTGAGAAAGCAGGTCGAATGGATTAATAGATTGGCCTCACCGGATATCTCAGGAGGGTCGCCTAGGACTTTTGTCTGTTGAATTGTGCGAAGAAGACCTCGGCTCACCGTCTTACGACCCCGATGATTCCGCGCTGAGCTTTAGTCCGTCCTGTGACGAACATCGTCAGAGCCAGAAACCATTATTAACAAAAACTCAGAAAAAAACTAAAGCGAGAAAGGATGGCCGGCTGAGAGGTCCCCATATTCGGCAGAACGTTGGGATTTAGACCACTCTATCCGGTGTGCTGTAGCGACCACATGTTCAGCCACTTCTGATTTCTGAATCCATAAACCTTTGTAGGAGGTTCTGTGTTCTGATAGCCTCTTATTTATGGGTCGACAAGTCTCCTCCACATAAACACTACAACATGAGCACAAATCCTTATAAAAACATGATCTGCAGATGGCGCCAAAAGAGTCTCTAAAAGAAGGCATGATCGAGGAAAGCGTTATTGTTAATTTATACATTGTCTTGACAATCCATTTTCTCAATAATTCGCCTATTCTTCCTGAGAGCCTACAGGATGGTAGCATTAGGAACCTGATCGAAGAGTTGTCTAATTCCTTGTTTTTGCCAAAATAATGGTTTTCTTTCTTAATATTTTGAAATTGTTAACAATCAATCCTATAGGATAATTGTTCTCAACTAAGATTTTACTTAGCCTTTATAATTCCTGTTCTTGATGATTTACGTCCGCTAGGCGTAAACTCCTTATTATCATTAATTTAATTACACCCACTTTAATATCCTAAGTATATTTCGAGAAGAAACTAAGGGAACCAGCATTTGTGGGTTTCCTATCTACATCTCTACACTGTTTGCTCCCTTCTTTACTAACTAGGACATCTAAAAGGGTACCTCATTCTCTTTTTTTAACTCCATAATGAATTTCGTCGCCTTATCTACTCTATTCATTAAATCAAGGAAGTCATCCTAACACTCTGCCATGATGCCAGATGGCAAAGTAATCATCCGTATATCTGACCAATAGTTTCGAAACTAGAAGTGAAAATTGAAAAAACCGGACTTCCAACTGAACAATGTAGTTATTGGCTAAG